ACGGTAGTCTCTCTCCGTTCTTCCTCCTCGCTCCATCTCCTCCCCCTAGCTTTCGGTAGTAGCTTGAGTAGACTCCCCGTAGTTAGCCGGCGCCGCCCCGACCGTTGCCATCGCTCGCCGTGTGCTCGCCGCCGTCGCCGCCCGAGCTCCGTAGCACCCGCTCGTCGCCGGCCTCGCTCGGCGTAGTTCCTCCCAATCCGACGCTAGCGTCGAGTTCCCGAAGCCGCGTAGATGTTCTCACCGCCGGGAATCGACCTCTCGCGACCTCGTCGCCGTTTCCCTCTTCTCCCGCCGCCGGTTGCCGCCGCCGCAATCCGCCGCCGTCGAGCAACCTCCGGCGAATCCGAGCCGATGGCTCGCCTTCCCTTGTCACGTGCAACCGCCCGGTGTGCTCGCTGTTGCCCGTATCGCCGTGGTTCGCTCCGCCGCTTGCCGCCGCCGCCCGCCGTCCATTCGAGGCCGGGTCGTCGTCTACCTCCCGCCGGCCCGCGTGGCAGCCACGTAGGCGCCACGTCGGCGCCAGCTCAGCCAGACCTGGTCGGGCCGACCCCGGTCGGTCCCTCCGCGTGCGCGCGATCCACCGCGAGCCGTGAGGCTGCGCGTGGGCCCGCCGCACCTGCGTCCACCGCGGACCGCGCGCATGCACCGCGTTCCGTCCCCGCCCGCGCGCGTGCGTCGCATGCCCCCTCCGCACGGTGAGCCGAGCCGCTGACAAGCGGGTCCCACCCGGGACCGCGCGTGGTGAGCCCGGTCCACCGGCTCTCTCTCTCCTCCCTCCCGCGCGCGCGCGAGTTTGGGCCGCCTTGGGCCGGCCGGCCCATTTAGCTCGGCCGGACCGCTCCATTTCTCTTGGGCCGCGCCCTAGCTGTCCGAGAAAAGTCTATATTTCCTCCCTCCCTTCTTTTCTTTTTTTTTCCAAAAAGGATTTAATTAAATCCTTTTCCTTTAGATCAAAAATTCAATAATCTTAGAAATTCAATATCTTCCCAACCGTAAATCCGTTTGACTCCGTTCAACTTCCAAAATTCCCCAAATCTCGAGATCTATCTTATGGCACGCTTAGAGGTCGTTAATAGGGCTTTATTTTTGCCGTTTGTTGAGTTGTCCCGTTTCGCGTGTAGTTTCAGAGCCCGAAGACCCGCAGTGCGAGGATTTCGAGGATCAAGCTCCAGATCTCGAGCAAGGCAAGCCACCTTTGAACATCTTGAGCCTATATTTGAAATTTAATTATGTTGCTTGCAAAATATTATGCATTGATAGGATCACACTTAATCTGTTTGTCCCGTCTGCAAGGCAGATTGGCGGACCTACCTAATTTGTCGCATTTGATCCTTCCTTTGTTAATTGCTATACCATGTCCCCTTGTAACCACCCAGTTGCGCCTCGATACTCGCGCACTCTGTGCGAGTATCGACGGTCGCCTTCAAATTTAAAATCTGAGTAACAACTTGGGTAAAACTGGAGTTTTACAAAAGACTTGGAAAAACCCGACACCTGGGTCGGTGCTTGCGAACTAAATGAATTTCCAAAACCGCGGACCGGGGAACGTACCGGGTGTACGGTTTCCCGCTCTTGCACCTAAGGACCGTTTCCTTGGAATTTCATCCGAACATAAGACAAGTACGACCACACGGGTGGAATGGGACACCCCTGGCTGAGTAACTAGCTTATCAGGGGAGCCTTGATGCCGAGAGACATGTGGATTCGCCGGGGTGGTGTCGGGGAGGACCCCTGGGCTTCCTGGCACAGTATGGTCTGGGACCTAACCTGTTGTTGGTCTGGGACCCCTCTCGTCGGCATATGGTAAACCTGTGTCGGCTTTCGAAATGCCTTGTCATGAAAGCTTGGAGGTCTCCCGACGTGGCTGATCCCCACGGGCTGGGTGACCCGGGTTAGTAATGTCGTGTGGGTAAAGTGTACCCCCTCTGCAGAGGTCATTGAACTGTTCGAACAGCCGTGCCCACGGTCAAGGGCGGATGTGAGGTGATTCCTAGCGTAGTTTTGTTTGACTACTGCTTGTGAAATTGCTGTTGTGAAAAGGGGTTCGATGTTTGAAAAATCTGTAGCTGATGGGATCAGCTAGGCCCGGGTGGCCGTTTGAAAAGTTGTTGGCCCGGGTGGCCGTTTGAAAAGCTGTTGGCCGGGTGCCAACCTTGTTGCAATCCCAAAGACTGATACATTGCACATACTCCGACCGGACGAGACGCACTGTCCCATCCGTGTCGTTTGAGAAGCACTCACCTAGTTGTTTTAGAAAAATAGTTCAAATAAAACCAATTGCAAAAACAACAGCCTTCCCTTGAAGCCTGCATTAAACACTTATTTCCCCTGGCTTGCTGAGTACTCCCGTACTCACCCTTGCTCTATATAAATATCCCCCCCCAGTTGCTGAAGAAGATGAAGCGGATCCTGCTGATGAGGAGTTCTTCCAGGAGCAAGCCGGCTACGATGAGTTTTAGGGTTTCGGCCTAGTTCCCAAGTCGCGCCTGTGATGAATGGTCCAAGTCCTGGCTTCCGTTTTCCTTTTGTAATGCAGTTGTGAGCTCGGGATCTGTCCGCAGCTCAACATGACTGTACTCCTACTCTATAATAAAGAGACCTCTGTTGCTGTGATATTCTGTCTCCCTGTGATACCAGCACTGTTTCCTGGGACTGGTATCGATTAACAGGTTAAATTGGAGCGTCACGGGCTAGTCTCGGTCGGGACTAGTTCGGGGCATGACACTTGGGTATATTGTAAACATTATTCCCAAGTCACTACAAGAAAACGGAATGTACTTGGCGGTCTTAATTATTCCATCGGCCGATCGCTAAGTAAATACCGCTAAAGAAATTATATGGCCGCCAAGGACATTCTGTTTTCTTGTAGTGAGTTAACAAATTATGCATAAGAAAGAGTGTGTGCATCCTTTTATCTACATTCGATGGACAATTCTATTTTACTTGGTGGGATACACACGTGTGCATATCTTTACTACCAATTTATTTGTTTTAATAGTAGTAACACGTCTGTGTGTTGCAATGGATAATAATATACTTGTCTCTTTCAATGGAGATTAATTTTTTTTGGACCATGTAATTGGAAATGAGGTGTGATTGGGAACGGGTTAGGAACATTATTGGTTTGTTTTCTTGCGAGTGTGATGGTTGCACACTGTGCATGATGTGAAGGACTGGGAGGGGGTGGACGGAAGACTCCCCTTTCAAAGTACCAATAACGGAGCCTTATTTGTAACGTGTCGGACCTATATAAGTAGGGATGTGCTACATAAATGTGATTATGGGACAAAGCATTAGATACGGTGGTTACCTACGTACACTGAAAACGGTGACAAAGCTAAAACAAAATAGAGGGGTTCCACTCACATATTTTACTCTACTTTGAATCGATTTTAGCTTGATACGGATGTCTAAGTTTGAATTGAGGAGACGTATATATGATGAAAATAGGTAAACTATAACTAAAAAAAAATTATGTATCGGTTCCCTAGGCATCCCTGGATACTTGTAGCTTCGTCCATGGCTGAGGGAATGGAAGAATGTAACTACTATTGTATTATTGTATTCTAGCAGAGGCGGAGACAGCGTGGGGGTGGAGGTGTTTTTAGACCCCCGTACCCTCTAATAGACCATTAGAGCCCTCATAATACCCCCCCTAAAATTCTAATCCATATATTTATAAATGAGGGGCTAATATAAACTTTGTTTGAGGTTGTTAGAAGGCCCAAAACGTTAAGAAGGCCCAAAAATTCCTAACCTAATCCTAAATCTCTCTTAGTTGCTGTTGGTCATTTTGGTTTAGCCCCGCTATATTTTTATCCTGGCTCCGCCACTGTATTCTAGTAGTCCTAGTATGTCCTATCTCTATGTATACTTTTAGATGATGTGGCACATACTTAAAGTATAAGTAGGAGTAAACTATACTGTATTAAACTACATTTTAATATGTACAGAACGACGATAAAACTGGATAAGTTGAACTTATCTTGCTGCATGTACGTTTCATCCCCAAAAAACACATGATAAGAACATAATAAATGCAATGCAATGCTATTCTTACGACCAGATTGGCCAATACACGATTGAAACTAATCAGCACAGGGTAGCAAATCAACAGGGTATAGTGGTATACTGAACTTATCTTGCTGCATGTACGTTTCACCCTCTTAAGAAAATCTTGATAAGAAATAAATACCACGATATATATATGCTATCATTAGAAATCCACAGGATAAGTTGAAACTTCCTTGATGTATGTACATTTAGGCGCTGCTTCTTTCAGCTTAGGATTATTATAATCCAAATTATTAGGAGTAAACTGAAAGAAACAAACAACTTATTGAAGTAGCTTATTATAATCTGGAGCCTAGCTTAGGCCCTCTTTATTTAGGCTTAGGTTTATTAGCCTAGACTTTTAAGTCAGCTTATATGATTTATAAGCCGGTGGATTTAATGTCCTAAGTTTAGTAGTTGAGTCATACATCTAACTCACATAAGCCAAAAAAGCTTCTCCAACCTAGCTTTTGGCTTAATAGTGTTAGAGTGGCTTATGGCTTCAAAAAAACCAAACGGAAAAGCTGCTTGCTTGTTTAGGCTCAGACTTTTCGACTTATAAGTTGGCTTATAAGCCTAAACAAAGAGGGCTTATTATAATATGATAAGCTCATTTAGGTGAGCTTTTTCCAGATTATTGGGTAAAAAATTACCCGTCATACCACACCACTTTCTCTTTAGACTTGTAAACCCAATAATTTAGGATGTAATAATCTAGGAAAGAAACAACTAACCGTTTATTCTACTACAGATTATAACAATCTAGCTTATGGTAATCTGACTCAATAATCTAGATTATAATAATCCTAAGCTGGGAAAAACAGGCCTTACTCCCTCCCCTCCCTAGCTCGCGGACACCATATGAGCTTCCAAACTGGCCTCTCACTTTCTCTCTCGCGCTCTGCCTCTATAAATACCACGCAAGGCCTTCCCACGCCCACCACCATTCGAAAGATCCCTCGAAGATTTTTCTCCTCCCTCTCTCCCTCTCCTCACAGCTCTCTCCCTCTCTCCTAGCAACAGCATATATAGCGCAAAGACAATAACACACGACTAGCTAGCAAGAAGAAGACAGCTGGTTCAGAACTCTCAAAACAGCTGTGGTGTCCAAGTGATCCTTAATTCTCCAGGGTCATTTGGATGGCAGCCTCCTTCGTCATCGTCATCGTCATCTCCTTCTTCATTTCTCTTGCTTTTATGTGCTATGTCCACTACACGAGCCGGCAGAGGAGGAAACTCCATGGCTACGGCCATGAGAAAGCCGTCAGGCTGCCGCCGGGCTCCATGGGTTGGCCTTACATCGGCGAGACCCTTCAGCTCTACTCCCAAGACCCCAACGTCTTCTTCGCCTCCAAACAGAAGAGGTTAGTTGCCAATTAATTAAAAACCCAAACATGCTGCTAATCTCTGCAACCTGAAAGCATGGACGCATGCTTTTGAAGGACATGGATGGCAAGATAATGCCAAGCTGCCAACACAAATACTGCATGCCATAGTTGTGGGCTTGTAGCTTTCGGCGTTATTGCTGATGTATGGCTTGTGTGTGCGTGCAGGTACGGCGAGATCTTCAAGACGCACATTCTGGGTTGCCCGTGCGTGATGCTGGCGAGCCCGGAGGCGGCGCGGTTCGTGCTGGTGACGCAGGCGCACCTGTTCAAGCCGACGTACCCGCGGAGCAAGGAGCGGATGATCGGCCCGTCGGCGCTCTTCTTCCACCAGGGCGACTACCACCTCCGCCTTCGCAAGCTCGTCCAGGGCCCTCTCGGCCCCGACGCCCTGCGCGCGCTCGTGCCGGACGTCGAGGCCGCCGTCCGCTCCACGCTCGCCTCCTGGGACGGCAACGTCTCCAGCACCTTCCACGCCATGAAGAGGGTAAGAATTGCCAGCCAGAGCATGAAGAGGAATGTGCCGGAAAAGCAGTGCTGCTCGCCACGAGGATGCATGTAACGTGTTTGTTTTTTTGTTCCTTTCAGCTCTCGTTCGATGTCGGCATCGTGACCATCTTCGGCGGGCGGCTGGACGAGCGGCGGAAAGCGGAGCTGAGGCAGAACTACGCCATCGTGGAGAAGGGCTACAACTCCTTCCCCAACAGCTTCCCCGGGACGCTGTACTACAAGGCGATCCAGGTACGCAGCAGAAGCCAGGCACTAGATGGCACGAGCTGTAGCATATTCTAGTGCCTTCCTCACGTCGTTCTTGTACGTCCTGTTTGCAGCAACAGTAGGTGATAACCGATCGAGTTCCTTTCTGCATCTTACTAAATCTGCAGGCGAGGCGGCGGCTGCACGGCGTGCTGAGCGACATCATGCGGGAGCGGCGGGCGCGGGGGGAGCCCGGCAGCGACCTCCTCGGCTGCCTCATGCAGTCGCGGGCGGGCGACGACGGCGCGCTCCTCACCGACGAGCAGGTCGCCGACAACATCATCGGCGTGCTGTTCGCGGCGCAGGACACGACGGCCAGCGTGCTCACCTGGATCGTCAAGTACCTCCACGACCATCCCAAGCTGCTCGAGGCCGTCAGGGCGGAGCAGGCGGCGATCCGCGCCGCCAACGACGGCGGCCGGCTGCCGCTGACGTGGGCGCAGACGCGGAGCATGGCCCTAACCCACAAGGTACGTATGCGCGAAAAATACACCCATTTCCCGAGTTTTCATTCGATTCCCGTGTATTTTTGCGGTTAAATTACTGACGGCGCCATCTGCTAATTCCTTTGTTGCCATCTCCCTCCCATCCTTCGGTTCAGGTGATTTTGGAGAGCTTAAGGATGGCCAGCATCATCTCGTTCACGTTCAGGGAGGCCGTGGCTGACGTGGAGTACAAAGGTACGCACGTGCGCAGCCCTACGCTACAACGTGGCCGTAGGGGAGCCACGTCCGTTACTCCATGCATCGTGTGAAAAAAACAGTGTAGATTTTTTTTTTTTAGTTTTGCTGACGGGACCGTGTATTTTTCCTTGGCGTGTAGGGTTCCTTATCCCCAAGGGATGGAAGGTGATGCCGCTCTTCAGGAACATCCATCACAACCCAGACTACTTCCAGGATCCACAGAAGTTCGACCCTTCTAGATTCAAGGTATGGGCCTCGATCGATCGATCGATCCTCGCCGCAGTGCTTTTGATGTCGATGCATGCATCTCTGAACAAACTGAACACTGTTCCTTTCGATAGCATTAAATTCCCTCTTCTCTAGTCAACGGCAGCTCTTTGTGATACTGTTCGTGGAATGAAATTATAATAAGACATAGTTGTAATACGTCAGGTGCGAATAGGTATATTCAGTTTCAGAAATAATTTGTACCTTTTCTCGTCAGAATATGTCAGGGTTTTCGGCCATTCGACAAGCCCACAAATAGGCCAGAATTCACACTCGGATCAGATGTATACCATGGAAATCCAACCAACCATTAATCAACTTGCTGCTGAGTCAAACCCTTATCTAGAACATTTGTAAATGACTTAATTTATCTTTGCATAGCAGCCGCAGCAAATACTAGTGGTGCTACCAATCTGCAGATAGATAGAGCCTCAAAACTGAAGTACCACGAGTGAAACTTCTTTTTTCTGAACCTTCTCTTTTTTTCTGGTTGTGTGTGGAACAATGTCTATGCAGGTGTCGCCGAGGCCGAACACCTTCATGCCATTTGGGAACGGCGTGCACGCGTGCCCCGGGAACGAGCTGGCCAAGCTCGAGATGCTCGTCCTCATCCACCACCTGGTCACTGGCTACAGGTGCGTGCCCCTCCACACAGATTCGCCATATATTCTCCCCTTGTCGTTGTGGACCACACCGTGCCATGGCTGCTGCCACTCCATTGGCCCCTTCCTCCCAGCTGCCAGATTCCGCATACACATACCACAGCTGCTAGTACACGCATGCTCCAACCTGTGGGGTCATTCACTGCTCAGATCGCACAGCGCCTACTCAGCATCCTAGTACCACATATGAGCAGTCACATGCATGTCATTGGAGACGAGTTGGTTCCTCAAATTTCGTTGTGGAACGGTGTGCTGATTGACGTCTGCGTTCTTGATTTGCAGGTGGGAGATTGTTGGTTCCAGCGACGAGGTTGAGTACAGCCCATTCCCTGTGCCCAAGCATGGCCTTCTCGCGAAATTATGGAGGGATGATAGTGTCAGTGTGGAAACAGATGGTTGCCAGAACGGTGATAATGACGACAATGGCGTAGCAATGGTTTGATTAGGCGTTTAATGTAGATAAGCTAGCTAGGGAGATATTTTTCTTTCTTTCATTGCCCTTCTATTTCCTCAAGGGAAGTCCGGGGAGAAAAAATGGAGTTTTCTTCTTTTTTAACTTGATCATAAGAAGGTAATGATGATGAGAATGGGTTCTCGGAGGAAAAACAAATGATAATGTGTAATATCATTGACATTGACCCAAATTAAATGGCTTCAGCAGTTAATGCTGCTGCATTTCGGCTCCCTTTCATTACACCAAGGCACCAACGCGTGTTGCCATATGCGTTTTCCCCGTACACGGTACACCTGGGTGCAGACCCCCGGGTTGGCCCCGGTTTCAGGCCGGGCTTAAAAAAAAAACTGATGCGAGAGCCGGCCTGAACTCATATATAGTAGGCTCACACAATGAGTTCTTGCCATAATCCTCCCGATCGGTCAGACAAAGCAGCTCGCACCGTCGCACGCACCGCGCGCAAGGCGCAGAGACGCGCAGCGCACGAGATGCAACGGATTAACAGGCGAAGGGGATCGAACGAGCCCGTCCGTCCGTTGGCTGGTTCCCAACTCCCTCGCGTCGCGTCCCCCACCAACGCCACGATCGAGCCCAAGACGCTGACGGTGGCAGCCTGGCTCGCGCTCGATCGATCAGCGCCCACGCGCCACGCGCCCCGCGGAACGCGCGATCCGCCACCAACCAAAAGATCACCGATCCCCACAGGCCCGGCCCCAGTTCGGACGGTACGTACACGTACGTTTATTACGACGCTGCTTGCCACTGCTGTCGAGTGAGTTGGCGCCCGGCACAAGGCCACACAAGCCGGCCGTTGGAGTCCAGCTCACGACGCGTGAGCGCGTGACCGACCGAGATTGTACGGCTCTGTACGCACTACCTGTTCCGATCGAAGTATCATACCATCGGCCGCACACGTCGGACGCCCGCACGGGCCCGGCACGGCAGGCAGCGAGCGCGAGGTGGTTCGGCTTCCCCCTTTCAGCCACATTCCCCCGTCCGTCCCCGTCCCGCGCACGTCGTCGCACCGGCAGACGACCCCGTACGACGCGACGTCGCTCGTTGGCCTACTACTAGTACCACGCTAGCTAGTACAGTAGTACGTAGTAGGCGTACTCGCGGAGATCGATCGAGCTGGCTGTCTCCTTACTCCTCGCCGCGCGATGGTGCCATGGTGGTCCGCGTGCATAACCGGCCGGCTGAGCTAGCTCTCTCCCACGCACATGGGGGCGCCGGGCGAACCGTGCCTCGTCACGTCCGAGTGTGGGGGCACGCCGCGCGCGGAGGCCGACACGTAGAGACGGTGGTGGCATGATATGATGTTTCGTTGTTTCGTTGCGCATGCACGGGCGGCTTCGTTTGCTCACGTGTGCCTGGCTTAGAGAGGGCATCGGTTTCGTGGCATCAGGGCCGTCTCCAGGAATTAAATTTGGGCCCAGGGTAAAATGCAAATTGAGATCATATAATTTTTTAAAAAAATCATATATAAAATAAATAAAATATATTTTCACTCAATTATATATATGTAATATGTGTTATAATGTATGATATTTCGAAATATATGCCTTTATGTTTCACAAACAAATAGGAGCAGTAATTTTAATCAAAACGATAATTTGATATAATCGATCATTTCAATTATAAACTAGCTGGGTGGCCCGCGCAATTACGCGGCTAGCACCCAAACAAAATCATATATTTTTTTAAGTATGATTTTACTTCAAATTTATTAAATAGCTATCTCATTGTCTTAAGACTTTGAAAGACTAAATCTTATCATCATCGTGTTTCTAATTATATAGGCTTTAAAAGTCACACCAGTTGCTACCCCTTATGTCTCATCTCCTTCTTTATTTGCTTGCTCGATTTACCACTATTTCTATTCATTCTTATTGGAACCTTTAAAAATTGGATTTTATAGTTTTTAGAGTTTATTGTCATGTTGGGTTTCATTTTTATAATTTCTAGATGTCCCGTCAAATGTTGCTATTATACTTCTCTACAACACGTCCACTATCTTATCTCTTTATTGTCATTGAGAATTTAAAAATCGAACATAATTATCGTTTAAGTTCATTTTTACTTTTTAGAAGTCCCGCCAAACCATTAGCGGCTTTGCCATTGTAATTCTCTACGGCTCGCCCGCTGCCTCCCTTCTTTATTTCATTTTGATTTTAAAATCGAACATGATTATCATTGGTTTTTTTACTTTTCAGAAGTTCCGAACCTTTAAAAATTGGACTTGTAGTTTTATTTTTAATAATTTTTAGAAGTGCCATCAAACGATGTCACTATGTCCCTGATCTACAGCCCGTCCGCCACCTACTCTTTATTGTCATTGTGATTCTAAAAATTGTTTTTTTTTTACTTTCTAGAAGTCCCGGCAACTGCCTTACTTGTTTGCTTCACGGCCTCCCTGACGTCTCTCCTTTTAATCGTCATTAGGATTCTATTTGGTGTTTTATTAACAATTTTTATATGTCATATCAACCACCACCACTCTTTATAGGCATGTTACTTAATATATCTCGTCATGTGTTTTAGATGGTCTTTTATTTTAATAATATTTATTTTTATCAAAATTTTTTGTTATTTATAAATTGTATTCCTAATTGAAATCTTATTTTTCTTGTTCTAATTTTAGAATTTTTTTAAAAAATTATTTAATACCGTATTGTGTTATTTTAATGTTTTTATTTTTTATTTTCAATTTCAGTTGTTTCGAAATTGTATTCCTACTTGAACTCTCTTTTATTGTTTTCTAACTTTGGATATTATTTTATTTTTTATTCTAAATTTTAATTAATCTCGTATTGGGTTCTTATATGGATTCTTTTTTCAGTGTGCTTATTTTTAATTCCGAATTTCAGCTAATTTTAAATTGTATTCCTACTTAAACTTTTCTTTTATTTTCTTTTTCTAATTTTAGATTTATTTATTTTTATTCCGAATTTTACTTAATCTCGTATTGGGTTCTTATATGGACTCTTCTTTTAATATTCCTTATTTTTAATTCCGAATTTCAGCTATTTTTAAATTGTATTCCTACTTGGACTCTTATTTCCTTTTCTAATTTTGAATTTTATTTTATTTTTATTTTGAATTTTGATTAATCTCGTATTGGGTACTTATATGGAAACTTCTTTCAATATTTCTTATTTTTAATTCCGAATTTCAGCTATTTTTAAATTGTATTTCTATTCTCCTTTCCTTTTCTAATTTTGGATTTTATTTTATTTTTATTTTGAATTTTGATTAATCACGTACTAGGTTCCTATATGGACTCCTCTTTCCATATTGCACATTTTTAATTCCGAATTTTAGCTATTTTTAATTGTATTTTTACTTTGACTATTCTTTTCTTTTTCTCCGATTAATGTGGGAATTTCTAGCCCCCACGACGAACGTGGTGCCTTCGTTTCGAGCTGTCTTAATAGATAGATAGATAGATTACAGTCATGAACTCACGACAATTTGATGCATATTACATATTTACGATCTATCATCCAGGCTAACCTTACCAGTCCGAGTCGAACCATCGAGGGTTGAGTCGAGGACGACGAGCAAACAAGGAGGAAGAAGGCTGGACCCAGGAGCCCAGCCGAAGGCAGAGCTGCAAGGTCGTCGCGATCGTCGATGCTGCTTGGAGCCTCGAAGTTGAAAGCATCAAGTTGTGTCGCCGCCTCGTTAGTCGTTGCGCGTGGAATTGAGATCACGTTACGACATCCCGGCAGTTGGCGCAGCACAGAATTAGGATCGCACGACAGCCATGCAAAAGGTAGGTAATAGCAGAGCCTTGCAGACTTGCAGCGCCCCATCCTGGCTTGGTCTTATTGATTGATTTGCCTATTAGTCTATTTGGTTGTTGCATGCTATAGCTGGGCAATTGGAAGTGAACCTTCATTGTTTATATGGGGGCCAAAAAAACAGAGGCCCTGTGCGGTCGCCTACTTGGCACATAGCCATCGACGGGCCTGCGTGGCATGGGTGCATGGCCCATTGAGAATTAGCTGGCCTTTAAGGCTCTGATGCCGGGTAAGATGCGACTGGCAAGGACACGGTTTTTTCTTTGTTGGTGCATTTGTTGGGATACTCCTAACGGGCGGTCGATCGCCCGCCCCTCCCCTTACTACCTTACCTCCCCTTCTTCTCTTACTACTACACCATACAAATTTGAATTTAAATTCAAATTTGAATCGAGTATATAAACTTTTGACTTATAAACTTTGTGTCTATAAACTTTAGGTGTATAAACACTTTAGATGTATAGAAATACTATATATAGAAAATATTTGAATTCAAATTCAAATTTGAACGGATATAATTCAAATTCAAATTTGAATCGGATATGTAAACTTCTGACTTATAAACTTTGGGTCTATAAACTTTAGGTGTATAGACTTTAGATGCATAAAAATACTATATATTGAAAATATTTGAATTCAAATTCAAATTTGAATCGGGTATGTAAACTTTTGACTTATAAACTTTGGGTCTATAAACTTCAGGTTTATGAACTTTAGATTTATAGAAATACTATATATATATAAAATATTTGAATTCAAATTCAAATTTGAATCGGATATATAAACTTTTGACTTATAAACTTTTAGTCTCTAAACTTTAGATGTGTAAATTTGAGGTGTATAAACTTTAGATGTGTAAACTTAAGGTGTATAAACTTTAGGTGTATAAATTTACTAAAATAGGAAAGTAATGCGGTGCCAAAAAAAGAAACCAGGTGGAGGGAGGGAGGGGGAAGGGGGATCGATCGCTACCCTTGTCGCCGGGCGATCGATCGCCCATTAGCACTTCCGCATTTGTTGCATACTAATAACATGCTCGTACGTTATAACGGACCAAGCCTATATAATTAAACATGGACTAAAAAGGTGATTAAGGATAAAGCAATAGAATCTGGTGTTTAATCGCGTAGAGTGTACATGCGTGAGAGATGGAGATGGAAGGAGAACGACTGTGTGCTTTTACCTTAGTAGAGATATGCATGTGGGTGATCGGTCACAGTGCCAAACGGGTTTCTAACAGGGCATGGCGCCGCCCCTCACGAAGACCACTGGCCATCTAACTGAAGTTCATTTTGTGAGAGCGCTCCACCGAATTTCGCTTTCATTCTAGATAGAGCTGAAATTTTTTTGTTGGGCTCCAGCTTTAGAAGAGGTGGAGCTAGAGCTGGAGGTATGCCTAACAGGCCTTAAGTCACCTAGTACCAACTAGAGTGCCAACTCAGACAGGCAGTGGCTGGTGGACGCAAGATTTTCAGTATGAGTATTCAAGACTTTTTGGAAATAATGTTGTCAGAGAACTAAAACGCCTTTAGGGAATGCCGCTTGCATATAATTATCATATTTGCTAAAGATAATGGATGTGTTTCGAAAATAAAAATATTGGAAGAAAAAGGAAAGACAAAGCGAAAGATCCATGGGAATCAAACCGGCAACAATTGATTGTTGAGAGTTGAGACCACACCCTAACCAACTATGCTTTCACACCTCTAGCAGAAGACAGAAGACAATGGTTAAAGTTGTTTATTTTTTTTTCAAAACAACAAGTATTATTAATTCAAAGGGAGTAATAAAGTAAGAAACTGTGGCTAGCGATCTAGCGTTAACTATAGAGCTTGGCTAACAAATTACTCCCTCCATTTCAAAATGTTTGACACCGTTGACTTTTTAGCATACGTTTGACCGTTCGTCTTATTCAAAAAAAATTTATGAAATATGTAAAACTATATGTGTACATGAAATTATATTTAACAATGAATCAAATGATATAAAAATAATAAATAATTACTTAAATTTTTTGAATAAGACGAATGGTCATATACGTACTAAAAAGTTAACGGTATCAAACATTTTGAAACGGAGGGAGTATGTCATATCTAATATTTGACGTCATAAACTTTAGCAGCCAACCAAACATGACTCTAGACCAACGCCACCAACACCTGTTTGAACACTACGCTGACGATGGAGCTGACTTTTTGTGACTGTTACATTCCACACCAACGCCAATACACCACGTCATACCTTTGAATGAACTCATGTTTGAATGAGAACAAGTGATTGCGACTTAATTTGTCCATAAATTCTAAAATCATCAATCTCCACGCAGATCTCAAGATTAGAACTTAGGGCAAGTGCTATGGTAGATGTGACTACCACCTCCAAATTTATCTATTTTATTCACTCATGAACTAAGAGGCAATCCATACAATGTATTACCTCTAACACACAAATACCAATATCTCTAATACTCCCACACATTTCTTGAAATTTATGTGGAGGTTGCCTCTTGATTTAGGGGTGGTTCATCTTCTCTCTCCATTTCTCTCCTCCACCTCATCACCCAATCCAATGTGGCATTCTTAGAGGCAACATATGAGATATTATAGTACTTGCCCTTACTAACCTGGCCGACTGATTTCATTTGACATGTAACATGTGGAACAGAGAATGTGAAAAGAAAAGGTGTCATGATTTTCTTTGGGGAAGGGGGTGCACTTAACTAAAAAAAATTGGGAAAATCCAGTTTGTATTTTTCACGATAAATTTTCAAGTTACCATGTAATTGTTTCCTGATGTAATTGTTGAAGGTGAGCTAGACGATCAGTTCGATGATAATACTCTACTACAACATTTATGTGGTGAAATTATGGAGGAGGTGATGGATTTAAGTGGGAATCAGGGTAGTTAAAGAGAGGGGCAATGTGCTCGCACCAGAGCGTTTTACGCGGCTTTAGGGGTGATGTGTTCGCTCCCGCCACTATCCACGTCGTCGGTTTTTGTATCGTGGGTTTAGCCTGTCTCGGTGGGGCACGGGAGAGCACGGAAGCGGGCTTTTTTTTACTGTGCCGTGCTGCGGTTTTACCGCTGTAGCTGACCGGTGGGTCCGATAGACAGAGGCGACGGCGTGTGAAGAATGGCTGTTATGCCGCCCCGTCATCTCTTGTCCAAAAAGTCAAAAAGGTAGTGCGTGCAGTGTTGGTTTGTTCCAATGGGCTTGGTCCTTGGTCTGCCTTTGGAGAAGCAGAGAACGTACATGTATGTTGCGCGTGGGCTAGGTTCATGGTGCTGCTTGGTGCACTGATCGATCTAACCGAGGGATTGTTGCTTTGTTTGAATTGTTTGGATGGGCTTGGTCTATGGTCTATGGGTAGGGAAGGAGAGAACATACATACTTGTTGCCACGTGTTGCCTATGGGCTTGGTCCATGCTGCTGCTTGCTCCTCTGATGGATCTGATCGAGGGCCCTTTTGTTGACGTAGGGGTCGTTGCTGTTCAGGCGTGGGCGTCGACGCCTTTATGGTCCCACATATCAGTTGGTGCGTGCCTTTGGCTGGTGGGTGGGTTTACCATGTGTGTTCTGCATGGCCAATAGGAAATCGACAGCGGCTCACAAGTTTCCCCGTGATGTCCTCCTTTTTACCTTCCATCCCGTTTTCCCCTCTCCTCGGTTCTTCCCTTTCCTTCAGTCTGCCCAGTGGCTGGTTGCGACCTTCCGCTCTGATGGCGATGGCAAGGTGATTGCCCTTGCTCAGCATGGTGTTGCATTGTTTTTCTAGGATTGGCGGTGTTCCTCATATTCGGTGTGTTCTTTCCAGCAAATCCCTTTCAGGATCCAGGGGCATCTCCATCTAGGGATAGTAGAGTTTGACGCCAGCTCCGGATCGGCTGTTGCGGAGGAGGTACAGCCCCGTTGGCTGCTTCTGTTCATCGGTGAGGTTTCATGCCGGCTCTAATTTTGTTCCATTCTGTAGGAGAACGGCCACCGCACGTTGGTCTGCTGCTCTCTCTCTTCGTGCTTGGTCCCTGGTTCTTGACGGATGCGTAGCTTCTTTCGGTGTTGGGTCTCCGGTACCACCAAGGTAGTGTTCTTCTCTTTATATCGCCTAGATTGCTGTGTGTTGTTCTTTGTGCTTTTATTGCCACCTTTATTGCGTTTGGTTTGTTTGGGAGGGGACCGTTGCTGTCTGGTCAATGTTTTATATGTCAACCTTTGTTTTTTTTCCCTTTTTCATAGAGGATTCTCGAGTGTGAGGTGCTCTGTACAGGACATGTGAACGTTGGTTCCAGAATATATATCTGTGTTTGGCCCCACGCGACAGTGTAGCTACTTTATAGCATCTTCCTGTTCTTGCTATCTTAGTATATATCTTACCTTCCCTCAGCCCCTGTCTCCTCAACATTTTAAGCCCTCTTTTCCCCCTATTTGAAAGCTGTCTCTACGATTCGCAGTGCTCTCGGCGGGATGGTGGCGGTTGGCGTATCCTACGTTTCTTTGTTGAACGCTGTTGCTTCCCATTGCCGTTTACCTTGGGTGTCATACCTTTGGGAGGTAGATGGTGACGGAGTGCTGTTAGCAGGTGTTGAACTTAGTCTTCCTGACGAGCAGTTAGGCTGCGGTACAGTAAGCAAGTTCTTTTGGGTTGCTGCAGTACAGCCGTCGGCCGTTTCCCATGAAATGGTTGCACAGCAGGCTGTTAGGTTTCTCCAAGTCAAGTATGGTTTCGCTGTGCACAATTATAACTTCCACATGTTGCTTTCATACAGAAAGATAGCCGCGTCTGCGGTTGACGTAGCTATAACAGCGGCTGCACACCTTGCTAGGTTAGAGGCGCGCTATGGTCCTACAGATCTGCCTTGTGAGAATGTACTAAAGCAGTGTAACTCTCTATGGTTCACCTTTGTTAGGGAGGACCATTTTTTCTGCGGTGCGCATAGGTCGTAGGATTGTTCCTCTGTAGTATCGGGGTAGTTAAAGAGTATTCTTAATGGTGATCGTTGTTTTTTCGTACTTTAATTATTGCCCTCTGTTTCTGGTCCTATATGTAAACTGCCAACTTGATCTATTGATTTGGTTTTGTTCAGCTTTTGTTCCCATCTTTGCAGCTGCTTACTGTTTTCGCCTTTTTTAAAACCTGCTATTATCTATGTTACTCACTGTGCATGTTCAATTGTGTTCTATTTTGTGATGCGCTGTGCAGAGTGGCTCCCTGTATGTGTCCCCATTTTCTTTGCAATGTCTGGTAAAGCAAAATCGTGTGTCCAACGGGCGCGTGAGAGTCGATTAAGGCGTCATGCTTCATTAGGCCAGGGTGTGTTATTCGCGCCACACATTTGTACATGTTGTTTTTATTATTTAGCTCAGCTAACTAAGACAGCAAATTGGCTTCCTTAGGATTTCTGCAAGCTCCGGTATTTGGTTCAGTAGGTTCTGTTCCTTTGCGCCTCAGCTCAGATGCTGTGCACACTGGACCAAGTAGCATACATGCAGATGTCGCGCAAGGAAGCGTTCCATCAGGTCCTTCCCAGCAAGCCACATCCCATCGTTCTAATGCCAATAGGCAACTGCCCATTGAAATCAACACAATCAGTGGAAACCCAATAGGCAATGTGAAAAGTAAGTACATCACTAATATAGCCTATAAGCTGACTTGGTTGCTTCATTCGAGAAAAGAACGAACCATTGTTTCGATTCATTTCTTAGTATAACTACTTTCCCTTAGGGAAGAGGACATTACTAGACATACCGCGAAGTGCTGCTACGAGCAATAGGGAGAGACGACATATGAAGAGATCTGCCCACCGAACAGACTACTCTCTGATGAATGTTCTTGATGGTATTTTCAGATCCAAAAAAAATACAAAGAAAAAATTTGTTTCCTACTGCTTATAGCCTCATTTCTATTCGTTGTATAGGCCCAAAACCTACTCTTGAGGACATCTTACCTTTGCCTAAGGATTATATTGCATCCTTAAAAGGTTTGTTTTTGTTCATCCTTTAGCCAGCGTTCCTTTAATCTATATTCCAGTCTTCCCTTATGCTTTAATTCTACAGCGCTATACCCTGAACGATCCTACTATGGCGGGCCATCCCATGAATGCCCATACTGTGGAGCTGTATTTTCGTTCCAAGAGAGGGTCAAAAAAGGGACCGTGCTGTCACAGCGAAAGATCATTTACAACCTGTGTTGTAGAAGTGGTAAGATTAGCCTTCCAGAGCTGAAAAAACCACCTGATTTCCTAGCCAGACTATTAAAATTTGATGGTGATGCACGATCGAAGCGATTTATAAGGCAGATCCGATCATACAACTCTATGTTTGCTTTTACTTCGCTAGGAGCTAATGTTGATAAGACGATAAATAATAGGTCTGCACCTTGTGTGTTTAAAATCAATGGGGTTGTACACCACCGTATTGGCAGCCTCTTGCCACGACATGGTGCTGCACCTAAATTTGCTCAGTTGTATATATATGACCCTGAAAATGAGACATCAAATAGAATGAATATATTTGAGAGAGATTCTAATGCCGTGGATGATCCAGACCCAGAAATTGTTATCGAGCTGACTTCTATGCTTGACAGCCATAATGATCTGGTCAAAGCATTTCGCTTTGCTAGAGATCGGTTAAAAGACCATGGTGATGAGAAAATTTCCCTTAGATTGCTGGGGTGTGATGCAAGGGATGAAATTCAGTACAATCTTCCAACGAGTGGTGAGATCGCAGGAATAGTTGTAGGTGACTATTCAAACGGTGAGTATACGTACGATGTAATGGTCTAATCTTCTGATGCCAGGTTACGACGTGTCTCAGCTCTACATCCATCCTATATGGCTCTTCAGTATCCGCTGCTTTTCCCATATGGGGAGGCCGGATTCCATTTAGGTATCAAGTACACTGACTTCCCTAGCATTTCTGGTAATTCACGACGCTATGTTACAATGCTCGAATACTACCGTTACCGTCTCCATTATCGATTGAATAAACCAAATCCCTTTACCTGTTGTGGACGTCTTAGTGATTCCATATGTGTTGACTCATACTCGACTGTTGAAGGGTCAAGGTTGAAGTATATTGCTGACAACCAGCCTGAACTTCGCTCAGAGTCTGTCCAAGCGATATCTGATGCCATTGATCATGGTCTTGAAACTGGGATTCTGTAGGGAAGAAGTATGTCTTGCCTACCAGTTTTACTGGAGGCAGGCGATACATGGTACAAAATTACCAAGATGCGATGGCAATATGTCGTGTGTTTGGAGTGCCTGATTTGTTTGTGACTTTCACTTGCAATTCAAAGTGGCAAGAAATATACGATGCTTTGCTGTTTGAACTAGGCCAAGTACCAAGTGACCGCTCTGATATGATTGTGAGGGTTTTTAACATGAAAGTAAATGAGTTTATCTCAGACATTAGGGAAGGAAAAACATTTGGCCCAGTCCTTGCTGGTGGGATACTTTCTTCCTGTGTTTAGTTTGTTGTACATTCAGTTAGTTAGTTCTAACATTTTATACTTGCCATGTAGTGCTCTACACAGTAGAATTTCAGAAGCGTGGACTCCCTCATATACATTGCCTTATCTGGCTTGCTGCAGGCAGCACTGAATTTAGCGCTCCTATTGTTGATGGCTTTATATCCGCTGAAATACCTGATGTTTTTACTGATCCATTGGGTTATGCTTTGGTCGATGAGTTTATGATCCATGGCCCTTGTGGCAACCAGAACAAATCATGCCCGTGCATGAAGAAAGGGGAGTGTTCTAAACATTTCCCTAAGTCTTTTCAGGATGAGACAATAATGGATGATTTTGGTTTTACTATCTACAAACGCAGAAACAATGGTCGATATGTTCTTAAAAATGGAGTGAAACTTGATAATCGATGGGTTGTGCCTTATAATATGGAACTCCTTAAAAAATACCAAGCCCATATTAATGTCAAATGGTGCAACAAGTCTAACATGATTAAATACCTTTTCAAGTATGTCACAAAAGGAGCTGATAGATCTAAAGCATACTTTGAGGTCAATAATAAGCCAACTGGTCAATTATCTGATAGTAATGGTGCAGCCAAAGATGATACGTTAAACAAAACAACTAATTCTAATCACACACCTCGAAATGAAATACAGGAGTACATTGATGCACGGTTTCTATCTACCTGCGAGTCTCTTTGGCGTGCTTTTGAATTCGATATCCACTATAGAGTTCCTTCAGTAGAGCGACTAACTGTGCATCTTCCAAATCAAAACTTTGTTCGATACAAAAAGGGTGCTGAACTCAATTCACTCCTAACAAGCCCTGCGGCCCAAAAAACAATGTTAACGGAATAGTTTGAAGCTAATAAAAAACATAGCAACGCACGAACACTGACATACTGTGATTTCCCAAAGGAATGGACATGGGACACCAGCTCACGTAGTTGGCGTCCTAGAACACCATGTGAAAAGATAGGTAGAATGTACTATGTGAGCCCAATCAGTGGAGAGCTTTACTATTTACGAATGCTGTTGATGATTGTGAAAGGTGCTCAGTCATATGTTGATGTTAGGACATACGAAGGCATTGTTTATGCGACATTTAGAGAAGCGTGTGAATTAAGAGGTTTACTCGAGAGTGATAACGAGTGGTATTTGCTCTTTGATGAGGCCATAATATCCGCATCATCCACCTAGCTAAGACAACTATTTGTTACTGTTGTAATGTTTTGCTCTGTTGGAAACGTTCGATCCCTCTTTGACAAATATTGGGTGTATTTCACTAATGATATCCAGCGACGTCTTAGAACAGCTTTGTCAAACCCTTCTTATTTGGTTCCTCATGATAGGCTACTGTCGCTATTGATGAAAGAAATGCAAACCACTTTTTCAAATAGCGGCGGTAACATAGATGACTATGATTTACCGCGCCCAGCGATTTACTCAGATGACATAGTACGGAATAGAATGATTGAGGAAGAGCTTGCTCTTGACAGCGCCATACTGGCCACTGAAGCTAATTCAATAATTCCAAAATTGAACGCTGATCAGAGAACTATTTTCGATACAGTTATGAAGCATGTGAATAGCTCAAAACCTGGTTTTTTCTTTGTCTATGGGCATGGTGGCACAGGGAAAACATTTTTGTGGAATGCATTGATTTCAAAAATAAGGTCTGAAAAAAAGATTGTTCTTGCTATTGCCTCCTCGGGGGTTGCTTCCCTTCTCCTTCCTCGGGGACGCACTGCTCATTCGAGGTTTAAAATACCAATTGACATTGATGAGAACAGTATTTGCACTATTAAAAGAGGTACCATGCTTGCTGAGCTCATTCAAAAGACATCACTTATTATATGGGACGAGGCTCCAATGACTCATAGAAAATGTTTTGAGGCTTTAGATCGAAGTTTGCGTGATCTGCTTTCCGAGCACACACCTTCTAACAGCAGACTACCATTCGGTGGTAAGGTGGTTGTACTTGGAGGTGATTTTCGCCAAATACTACCAGTGATAAGAAAAGGCTCGCGTGCTTCCATAGTTGATGCGTCCATAACAAATTTGCCTCTCTGGCACCATGTTACTCTTCTGAAGCTGAACATTAATATGAGACTCCTTCAAAGTGACCTTTGTGAACAGAACCGACAAGACCTTGAAACTTTTGCTAATTGGATCCTATGTCTTGGTGATGGTAAGGTACCTGCAACAAAAAAAATTGATGAAACTGAAGCAACATGGGTCGATATTCCTGAAGATTTACTAATAAAAACATCCGGCGACAAAATAAAGGCAATAATAGATGAGGTTTTCCTAGATTTCCCCAACAAGTACACAGACCATTCCTATCTAGCATGCCGTGCTATTGTTTGCCCCAACAACTGAACGGTTGATGAAATAAATGATTCTGTCATTCGTATGATACCCACTAAGCCAAAAGAATATCTTAGTTGTGATACAATTTCAAGATCATGTGACCATATGCCTGACTTTGATATACTATACCCAACTGAATTCTTAAACTCTATTAATGTCAACAATTTCCCGTCACATAAACTTATTTTGAAAAAAGGTGTCACCGTTATGTTGTTGCGAAATTTGAATCAATCTATGGGTCTTTGCAATGGCACACGGCTATTGATTGTTTCTCTTGGCCATCGATTGTTACAATGTGTGATATTAACTGGATCTAATATTGGTGAGACAGCTTTCATACCTCGGATTGCGCTTACAACCACGAGTTCTAAGTGGCCTTTTACACTTCAGAGAAGACAATTTCCTGTCCGTATATGCTATGCAATGACAATTAACAAAAGCCAGGGACAAACTCTTTCGCGTGTTGGGGTTTATTTGAAAAAACCTGTCTCCACACATGGGCAACTATATGTTGCTGCTTCTAGATCAACTTCAAGAGCAGGCCTTAGAATCCTTATAGAGGATGAGGATGAGGTCTGTAGTTCAAAGACTAGGAATATGGTTTATCAAGAAGTGTTGGATGCAGCTAGATTGATGGTATTATTAAACAATTTGGCTTTATGTGCATCATACTACAGACCGAAAGATATATTAGGACAAACCCTAATATGTTCTCTGTTCTAATTGCAGGACCTTGGCACCTAAGTACCAACTATAGCACTATTTTTTGCCGTGCTGTTGTATACTATCCTTTTTCCCGTTTGCTGTACTATGCAGCTTTTGTGTATGTAGTGCTGCCTTTTCTTGCATTTATTTTTGTCTGTCTGTTCACTGCTTCCAATTTTTATAACATCCTAAATAACTGTATGGCAAGCTAACAATTGCTTACGGTATTGGCAGATGGTAACCACGCTAATCAGTAAGCTTGAGCCTGGTCTTGGCAACCCAACTATTCGTCTTCGTGTATCAAGGTTCTGGGAATTCCGCGACCAAAATGATGAAAATATTCTGTATCATCTTGGCCTGGTTCTGGTTGATGGCACGGTTAGTTCTTTAGAATCCTTGCTTTGTAATCTGTCATCACATTTCGCTTTCTTACTCAGTACCATTTTCTAAACAGGGGGCCAGCATTGCAGCTCAGATTATGCCTCCATTGGATGAGCTCTTTGCCCCTGCAATCACTGAAGGCAAAGTGTATGACCTCACGTTCTATCGTGTAAGGCAGTGTACCAGCCAGTATAGGCCAGTTGGCAATATGCAGTCGATTGCCCTCACAAAGTGGTCTACACTGGAAGAGTGTACTGATGTGCCAGAGAATTTCCCTAACTATGTTTACTCTCTAACGCCATATGACCAGCTAAGGGGACGAGTGAACAGGAAGGACTCTTTCACAGGTACTGTGATTCAGTCATATCCTCATAGATTACCATTCTTTTTATTGCATTCTTAATGTGTGTTTTATTATGATCTCTTAAATAATAGATGCCATTGGAATCATTACTGAGATAACATCAGTGACACCTATCCAAACGCGCACCAAGGATGGTGAAAGTCTGAAGAGGAGCATCTACATTCGCGATGCCGAGTTAGCCCTTCTTCTCTGTTTTTTAATATGCAAAAAGATATTTACTTCAGTTCTCTAACATTTCTATTAACAGTGTATCAGCAACACCAACTAACTACCACCAAATATTACTCCCCCTTTCAATATACATGCTTTCCACATTTATTTTTTTGCTAACATCACCCAACAACCGCTCACGATGCCATAAACTCTTTATGTAATGATACTATGTCTGCTGCATAGCAATGTGACAATAAATGTTGCGCTATGGGGAGATCGAGCCACAACATTCCCTGCAGATGAGGTGATTGAAGCTGGCAAAAAAAAATCCACAGATAGTGATCTTTGTTGGCACGCTTGTGAGGGGCTTTGGTAGTAAGTCCATTAAACACCATACATGTGTTCTATAATGGCTCTTGGAAAATGTTCTAGGGTGCTTACATATGCTCTGGATGCAGGGAATGTTTCTTTGTCAGGTAACTCTGCCTGCAAATGGTACATAAACCTTGACAAACCATAGGTGACTGCCTTGAAAAACAGGTTTGTTACATATACTGTCTTAGCAAATCATATCCTCTGATCTTTCTTTTCTATTTCCAATTGAGACATGAACTTTTTTGTTCTATGCAGCATCCAAGGAAACTATGAGCCAATAAAATATACTGATCTACCCGCCCCATCTCAGGCTGCAAACAATGCAGAACAGAAGACGGTCATTGAGATTAAAGACCTACACCCTTTTAAGTTCAAGGTAAATCCTCGGTACTATAAATGCTCATTCTAACATTTCAATTTATGTTATACACAGTGCTAATTAGGATCCTATTTTTATGAACAGAAGCATCAGTTCTTAGTTACTGTCGTCATAAAAAAGGTTAACGTGGATAGCTCCTGGTGGTACACTGCTTGTGACACATGCAACAAAACAGCAAAACGTTTTGGAAATGGATACAGGTGTGCAGATCCAACATGCCCACCAGTTGTTTTGGCTTCGCCTAGGTCAGTTGACATAAACTCCACTGTTCAAGCTAATGAATACATGTAGCTATACTAAAATTACCATTATAATGCATTTTCCAGATTCAAGCTCAATGTGATAGCAGGCGATGACACAGCTGATTCTTCATTCATTATCTTTGGGCGTTTGGCACAACGCCTCATTGGTCGTTCAGTTGAGACACTGTTGCAGCAGAATCCAAGTAACACTGGTTGCATACCAAAGGAGATCACTGACCTACTTGAGAAAGAATTTACCTAGAATGTCAGCATCACTGAGAACACTGCTTCTACTGGTACTGTTGCATTCCAGATGAATAGGATTCTTGGAGGTGCTAACAATCACACCCTTGCCCTGTTACAATCCCCATCTGCATCTCAAGCATCTTCTCTCCCAGCTTCCATGGCTCTATCACCAACTCCATCAGTTGGGCTTAGTGATGCACAGACTGGACCAGCTAGCCCATCCACTGCTATATCAAAACACAAAGACCTGGAAATAGAGTCTGCTTCAAAGACCACTACAGAGGTTCAGGATGAAGAGGAAATAGAAGATGAGGTTAGGCTTTTCCATAAATTCCTTTTAAACACACATATTCGAATTTCTAAAAACTGAGGTTTTTTACTATGGAGTAGGATGTCGATCACCTCAGCCTCACACAGAAAGCTCCTTCTTCTAGCACTAAACAAAGCACTTCTAAGAGCTACAAAAAAAGGTAAATGCTTTTTTCCCAAGTATTAATATTCCGCAGTACACAAATGCTAACTGTTCTTTTTACAACCTACCCACAAAAAGGCCTAGGCCATCTCCTGGCACAGGTGCTGCGAAGAAGCTATTCAAAGACAATCCTGGCAACGATGCTGGTGGCAGGTATTATGAGTTTTGATGTTTTTGTTATATACTGATCAGGAGCTATAGGTTTACAGTCTATGTCTTTTATGCAACTTCGCTTATCCTCTTTACATCGTTGCAGTGCCATCAACCAAGCCTGATATGTTATGGACCAAACAAGCTTACTTTTGGATGCCACAGTTGCTGCCTACACCAGACAGCTCTTCAGTGAGAGGAGAAGAAAATCAGCCGTTCTGTAGTGCCTTTGCAAACTGTCCTATTATTATACTGGTGTCCTGTGTTTGACACCGTTTCCACTAGACTTATTCTTTTGCAAAAAGACTTAATGTGAACTGGCACTGATCATGTAACTAGGATTCTGCATTATCATAGTTATACTATGATAATCCTGAATACTGGTTGTTATTTCACGGCGATTAATTTACCTCCGAATTATCAGTCGCATTCATACATCCAGTTTAATCACCGTCCCTCAAGGTAGAACGCATATACGTTATCTGTTTTGCTTACCAGGCGTCACGAATCCTAAAAAAAAAAACTGAACGTTACTACTACCTCTTCAGCAGCTTCTGTATTTAGTCAACACCGGCGCTTAACCACAATAGCACAGCATGTATGTACACGATAGTCCAGGGTTTTATACTATCCATCACCAAAATATGCTATTGAATTAAAGACCAACAAAATTCACACACCTAACTACTCCATACTGGAACCACATCGTACACGTTGTTTTACTCCATATACTGACATCAACCCATAGCCTTACCTGCTGCCTTTGAAGAGACAAGACAGGCTTTGGCTTAGACGTCGTGGAGAACAACGCCTTACTTCTATTTCTCCCCAACTCATATTCCCCTCCTCCTCTTCCTGTGAGCAAGAACAAGTTCTACAGCCTTCTTCGTCTCCCTCTCCAGGTAACAACCACGGCATATTTTCTTCACCGATTTCCTTCTATCTGTTGTCTCGCTACTCTTCATAGATAGAAATAGACGAGATCCCACATTACTGAACAGGGCAACTATGAACTTACTAGAACAAAAAAACAACACACCTATTACATCTGGAAATCTGTAGATATTCACTTCCATCTATCTTATTTGTTTTTTAGAAAAGAATGGAAGCCCAGCAAGGTAGACGCCCTAACAGAACACAGCCAGAGCCATCATCCTATGGAACTAAACGTCTGTTGTTAGCGACAAAGTTCTCAAGCCGTGAAGAGATTTCACAGCTGCTTGCCGATGTCATTTACCAAGATGCTGTAGTTGTCAAGGTGCTTGGGGCTGGCAATCCGAACACAACCAAGGTATCAGCTATGGTAGGCTTCGTCTGTGACTGCCAAGTCGATGATTTTGCGTTACTGCCATTCAGACATAGAATGTACATCGTCATATTCATGGACTCTGATAAACAGTACGAAAGATCTCAAAAGGCATTTAGCCAGAAAAGCTTCACATTCCAAACAACTCGGCTAGCATTTGAACCTTTCAAGATGAATCTACATAGTGTTCCAAACCCACTGCGTCAAAGAGTCATACTTGCATTGGAAGGAGTACCACCAGAATCATGGAACAAATCAGCTATGAAAGAATTACTCGATGGCAGTTGTATGGTTGAGGAGCTATATGCAGAGCACCATATAGAAGATCTTTCTGTTTTCAAATTGGCTGCATGGACAACAGATTGCAATCTTATCCCCAAGCTAATGGATTGGAATATTGAGGCAGTTGAGAAGGATCAGCAATCATCGGAGTATGCTTGGAAACACAATGCAGATTTATCAACCATATTAATTCACATTGAGAAACACTTTGACTACACTGATGAAGACAGTGAAAGTGAGACCGATGGAGAGATTCTAAAACAATATGAGAGAAACAACCCTCGCTTGCCAATTGTAAAGACATTCCAGTGGGTATCTCGCCAGATAGACACTGATACTGGACCTCTTGAGGGTGGATCGCCAGCAATGCCACCACGTCGTCTGCCTACTGAGCTTGGTAGGCACCACTAATCTAATCAACCTGCATAACAACAAGGTTCCTTTTATATATCCTGATAGGAACCAGAAAAAATGACTACTTATCTAACTAGCTGCTTCTCCTGCTCCTGCGCGACTATATTTTGCAGCAATATCAAAGAACAGTGTGGTTTTGTTATTCCTAATATGTAATTCAATCAGGTGGACCATATAGGCTACCTTTTCGTCTATTTTATCAGTACAATCTCTTTCGCTTTTAAGTGCTACTGGATGTTCGGTTCAAATTATGCAAAGTTCACACTCCTCTTCAGACGGTGAGGCACCGCAACGCGCGCCCCAAGTCCTAGTAGTGATAATATTCAGTCCACTTTGGATTCCATGGTACCTTCTACTAATAGTATTTCTAATGGTAAGAAGGGTAAAAAAAAGAAGAATAATAAAAAAATTAATTTTAAATGAAAGGAATCTTTTGGAATTGTGATGGGTTCAAGGACCCGAAAAAACATAAGTTTGTTTCTGATTTAACCAAAGAACATCAACTTGATTTTATTGCTTTATCTGAGACTGTTAACAAAGAATTTTCTATAGCTGCTCTTAATAATCTTTGTGCTGGTAAAGATTTTTTGTGGCATTGTAAACCTCCTAGAGGCAGATCTGGTGGTCTTCTATTGGGTATTAATTTATTAAATTCTGACATTGGTTTGATTGATGAGGGGGATATTTATATTAAGTTTCATTTGCGAAATAAAGCTGATAATTTTAAGTGGGCCTTAGTGTTGGTGTATGGACCTGCACAAAATGAGTTTAAGGAACAATTCCTTGCAGAATTAGTTAACATGTGCAGTCATGAGACCTTACCAATTCTTATTGGTGGTGATTTTAACATTATTCGTAGTCCTAATGAAAAAAATAATAATAATTATGATGATAGATGGCCCTTCTTGTTTAATGCTATTATTGATGGGTTGTGCCTTAGGGAGATACAAATGACTGGTAGGAATTTTACTTGGGCAAATAATCTGGCACACCCAACCTATGAGAAACTGGATAGAGTTTTAGTGTCGACGGAATGGGAGCAAAAATACCCTTTATCCTCTGTTGTTGCTCTCAATAGAGATATTTCAGACCATACTCCTTTGCTCCTAAATACAAAATCTTCCTCTTTTAGTAACGATCAACATAGTTGAACTTAGTTGGCTGTTACGTGATGGATTTGTTGATATGGTAAAAGAAGTTTGGTCTGGGGTTGATGAGGGCAATACTCCTATGGAGCGTTGGCAAGCGAAAATTCACCGCCTAAGACAACATCTTAGGGGATGGGCTAAACATACCAGCGGTTTATACAAAAAAGAGAAAAAGCAGATATTAGATAAGTTAGAGGCGCTGGATAAAAAGGCAGAGACTGTTCTCCGGTCTCAAGAGGAAGTTGATATTAGATGGTTTTTCAGGAGTAGGTTATCTGTCATTCTAAGGGAAGAAGAAATTAAATGGTATCAGCGGGCTAAGACTAAGGATATTTCGGAGGGTGACTCTAATACAAAGTATTTTCATTTAGTGGCAAATGGAAAACATAGGAAAACTAGAATTTATCAACTACAGGAGGGTGATCATTTAATAAGTGGTGATGCCAATTTAAAGTCGCATATTACCACTTATTATAAAGGTCTTTTTGGCCCTCCTGATGAGTCTGACCTTCAGTTTGATGAGAATTATGTTGCTGACATTCCTCAAGTTTCATATTTAGAGAATGAAGCCTTAACTAAGGAATTTTCTGAAAATGAGGTTAAGGATGCTATTTTCCAAATGGAACATAACAAAGCTCCGGGTCCAGATGGATTTCCTGCTGAGTTTTACAAGTTTTCTGGAATGTCATTAAATTTGACCTTTTAGAACTATTTAAGGACTTTCATTCTGGGAGTTTGCCTTTATATTTGCTTAACTTTGGTACTATCATTCTTTTGCCTAAGTGTGCCGAGGCTTTAAAGATTCAACAGTATATACCTATATGCCTACTTAATGTTAGCTTTAAGTTTTTTTTACCAAAGTTGCTACAAATAGAATAATGGATGTCGCTCAAAAGGTAATTAGTCCTACTCAAACAGCGTTCATTCCTGGGAGAAATATTATGGAAGGGGTGGTTATTTTACATGAGACTTTACATGAATTACATCGCAAAGATAAAAGTGGTGTAATTTTTAAGATTGATTTTGAGAAAGCTTATGATAAAGTTAAATGGCGTTTTGTACAACAAACTTTGAGAATGAAAGGCTTTTCTCCTAGATGGTGTGAATGGATAGCTTCTTTTGTTCAAGGTGGTCATGTTGGTATAAAAGTTAACGATCAAATTGGTAATTGTTTTCAAACTTACAAAGGTCTTAGGCAAGGGGATCCTTTATCTCCTATTCTTTTTAATATAGTAGATGTCATGCTTACTCTATTCATTAAGAGGGCTAAAGAGGCGGGACTCTTGAATGGGGTTATTCCTCATCTTGTTGATGATGGTTTGTCTATCTTGCAATACGCAGATGATACTATCATCTTTTTGGAGCATGACTTGCAACAGGCAAATAATTTGAAACTGATTTTATCGGTATTTGAAAAGTTATCTGGCCTAAAAATAAATTTTCACAAGAGTAAATTATTTTGCTTTGGTCAGGCAAAGGAATGTTATGAACAATATTTTGATATTTTTGGTTGTAAGTTAGGTACCTTTCCTTTTAAATACCTTGGAATTCCGATGCATTTTAGGAAGCTTTCTAATAAAGATTGGAAACTTATTGAAGAGAGAATTGAGAAAAAGCTTAGTAGTTGGAAAGGCAAGCATTTATCTGTTGGTGGTAGACTGGTGTTGATTAATTCTGTTCTTTTAAGTTTAGCCATGTTTATGATATCTTTTTTTAGGTGCCGAAAGGGGTTTTTCATAAAATTGATTATTATAGATCGCGGTTTTTTTGGCAAGGGGATGACCATAAGAAAAAATACAGGCTCACTAGGTGGGATGTTGTTTGTCAACCCAAGGACCAGGGGGTCTTGGGATTCATAATTTGGAGATACAAAATAAATGTATTTTAAGTAAATGGTTGTTTAAGTTAATTAATGAGGAAGGGGTTTGGCATGATTTATTGAAGAGAAAATATCTTTATAATAAATCTATAACCCAAGTTGACAGGAAACAAGGTGATTCCTATTTTTGGTCTGGTCTTATGAATGTCAAAAGTACTTTCTTAAATATGGGTTCTTGGATTGTCAATAATGGGGAACAAATTAGATTTGGGGAAGATAGATGGATTGGTAACTTGGCTTTTAAGGATAAATATCCATCTTTGTACGCAATTGTTCGGAGGAAAACATCTTCTATTGCCACTGTTATGGGATCGGTTCCGCTTAATGTTTCTTTCAGGAAAGCTTTAGTTGGTCAGAATCTTGTTTGTTGGCATGAGTTGTGTGCCTCTATAGTACATATTCAGTTGAATGATTCGTCTGATAGATTTAGATGGAATTTCCATCAGAATGGCTTGTTCTCGGTGAGGTCTATGTACCTAGCTTTAATTAATAATGGCTATATCGAGATAAACAAGTGTATTTGGAAGCTTAAGTTGCCACTTAAAATTAAAATTTTCATGTGGTACCTGCTTAAAGGGGTTGTGTTAACTAAGGATAATTTGGCAAGGCGTAACTGGAATGGCAGCTTGAGACGTTCTTTTTGTTTGAAGAATGAGTCTATTCAACATCTCTTTATGGATTGCCATTTTGCGAAGTTTCTATGGAGAGCAGTTCAGTTCTCTTTTGGTTTTAATCTTCCAGTTAGCATATCTCATATTTTTAATGGGTGGCTTTTGGGAGTTGATAAGAAAATGGGTAAACTGATACTTGTTGGAGCTTCTACCATTTGTTGGGCAATATGGCTGAGTAGGAATGATATGGTTTTTGACAAATCACCATCATTTTCCTATATGCAGGTCATTTTCAGGGCAACTCATTGGCTCCGGTTTTGGGCACAACTACAAAGGTGTGATGAAGATGAAGAGTTTCTGAAAGTTGCATGCCGAAAGTTGGAGACCACGGTTATGCAACTATTTGCCAATTATGGTTGGAGATTTACAAATAGACTTTAATAATTGTGATCTCCTTACGTTATGTTGGTTTCTTTGTTTTTCTCTTCGGTGTGTTCTATTCATTTAGATTTATACTATGTTCATAAAAACTACTATGTAATAATTGGTTGTAGCTCTTTTAAGTAAAGACCGGGATATTATATTCCATTATCTAAAAAATGTATAATCCATAGTAAGGTGAAGCTTTCAGTGTTAACTGAAACAACGTCCAGACACAAGAGCCGGCTGCTTCGCTTCGGTCAGCCTTGACTCCTCGTACTGTTCCTACCTTACTACTAGCATGGTAGCAACCCGTGATTAACACAGGGCCGCACGTATTTGGCGTGCTTAATTCGTCTCGTTTTACCTAATGACTTGGTTGATCGGACCATTCTTGCCACCAACCTCACCATGCATGCCTTCTGCTTGCCGTTCGCCTGGTCGATCAGGTCATGGCCGTGGCATGCACAAGTTTGGACTTCAGTTGTCGCCGCCACACCGCGCCGGCCCCGACGATGGAACGCTGACCCACGGCTCGCCGATCCTGATCATCTTGATCGGCCGCTCGCTGGCAGCCGCCTCCTCGCACCGCGCCCTCTTCCTCGTGGCGGCGCCATGGGTGTCGTCGAGGAGCACGCCGAACAGCTTCACGCACTTCTCCTCCCGGGCGTGCTCTTGCACGCGCTGCTCGCCGCCGACGCCGCCGGCCGCCGCTCGCATGTCTTCCTGCATGAGCAGCCGGAGATCGAGCTGCCGGACGTCGAGGAAGCGCGACAGGAAGCCCAGAAGCTCCTCGCAGTGCCGCCGAGCCCGCGCCAGCTCCATCGTCAGCGTTTGGTTGTCCTTCCTGAGCTGCTCGTTCTCGCTGGTGATGTCCGCCCGCGGCGGCGAGGACGCGGAGGAGGAGCTGCGGTCGTTGCCGCTGGACGTGGTCGCCGACGGCTCCGGGGGCAGAGGGGGCAGCGGCGGAGGGAACGCGACGTTGACGCCGCTGCCGCAGGATTTGGAGGACTGAGGCGTCGTCGCCTTGCGGCGGCGGATGCCGGAGAGGAGGCCTTGCTCTCCTCGCCGGAAGTTGCCGTTGGCGAACTCCCACCGATCGGGCACCACCTTCCGGAAACCCTGCATGAATAGTCGCCATCTCTCGTTAGCCCCGGTCAGATCGTGTGAACGTATTGAGGGGCAATCGTAACATGTTTCTGTCCTAATCAACACAAGACAATAAGGACATGTTTTTGGCAGAAAGACACTAAGAACGTGTTTGTTATCACACATCGTTAATTCGGTGAATGCACAAGTACAAATGTACAATCAACAATGAAAATTTGGCATAAATGCTTAGATTTGGGATATTCTTTGTTCATAGACAACTACGTGCAAAACAGTTTAATCCGGCCCATCTATATCTGTGGGCCAAGAATCTATCTATCTACCTATCTATTATATTATTAAAACAGTTCGAAAAAGAGGCACCACGTTCACCGTAGAGGCCTAGAAATTACCACGTTAATCGAAGAAAAAGAAAAGAAGAGTCCAAATAGAAGTACAATCTAAGAATAATTGAAATTCGGAATTAAAAATAAGTAAAATTAAAATAAGAGTCCATCTATAAATCCAATACGAGATTAATTAAAATTTGAAATAAAAAGAAAAATATATTCTCATAGTGGATCTATATTATAACGGTTAAGATTGATTGTATAGGTATATAAATAAAGAAAAAAAATACTACGCAGTATACATGTCCTTCTCATAGTCATGTTTGCAGTCGGACTCCCAACCGAGCAAAGCCACACAACAACATGACACGTTTTTTTTGGAATCATAGCTATGAAGGTCTAGCAACAGGACAGGAAAAACAGGACAGGACAAGTCCTCCATCGGATTCAAATGAAAAGCTAAAACTTTTAGCAGTAATCCTATTCTCTAATATAATTACAATAAGTTTTTATTGACTACCACATGCTAATTTTCAAATACACATATATAGATGGGTTCTCTTTCCTCTCAAGTTTCTAATCATAAATGCTAGAAAGCCTATATATGTCAATATTTTTATAAAAAAATACTCCTATATTTTTTTATATGATATTGGTTAGTTAAAAAAAACTGAGAGTACTAAGAAATACCATGTCCTAACCAAATCAACAATCCATCCATGAACCATACTTTGAAAACATGCAGTTCAGAACTCTATAAGCCTAGAATTATCAATTTGGAATAATAAGTTAGGATATTGAAAGAATAGGCCATTCAAAACACAACACAAGATTAATTAAATGTTGGAATGAAAAATAAAATAAAATAAATTCTGAAATTACAAAAAAAGATATTATAAGTAGGATTACAATTTAGAAATAACTCAAATTCGAAATTAACAAAAAGGAATATTGAAAGAGCAACCCATCACCAAACTAAATTCTAAAGTTAGAAAATAAAAATAAGAGTTCATATGGGCATACAATTTAAAATAACTAAAATTCGGAATAAAAAATAAGCAATACTGAAAGAAGAGATCATCTAGAGCACGAGTTTAATTAAATTTTGGAATAAAAAATAAATTAAATTCTAAAAATTTAAAAACAATTAAAGGCGTTCAAGTAGGAATAAAATTTATAAACAACATAATATCTGAATAAAAAATATGGAAATAAAACACAATCCATCTAAAAACACAACGATGGCAAATGAAAATAAAGAGCGGAGAAGCAACGAGACTGTAAAGGAGTAGGGTGGCAGTGGTTGATGGGACATCTAAAAACTATAAACAAAACCTAAAATAGAATCCAATGACAATTAAGACGAGGGACAATGGACAGGCCATTGTAATAGCATGATCACGGGGGTTGGTGGGACTTCTAGAAAGTAAAAAATAAACTCCAATGAAAATCATATTTGATTTGTAAAATCTCAATAATAAAAAAGAGGGAAGGCAATGGGCGTAAAAAGTATAAACAAAACCCCAAATAAAATTCCAATGGCGATTAAGAGGAGAGATGGCGGGCAACCCGTTAAGAAGCACAATCAGAGTGATCGGCGGGACTTCTAGAAAGTAAAAAAATAAACCACAATGATAATCACGTTCAATTTTTAAAATCTCAATGATAATTAAAAGGAAAGGCATAGGACGGGCCGTACAAGAGTATAATGGCAATGCTGCTGACAGTTTGGCGGGACTTTTAGAAAGTTAAAAATGAACACTGGCGATAATTGTGTTCGATTGTTAAAATCTCAATAACAATAAAGAGAGGAAGCGGTGGACGGGCCGTAGAGGAGTAGAGTAGCGGCATTTGACGAGAATTAAAAAATGAAAACCAACGATTTAATTAACTCTAAAATTTATAAGGTTCAATTTTAAAGTTCCAAGGAGGATAAATAGAAGCTGTAGTAGATAAGCAAACAAATAAAGGGGGTGACAAAGAGGTAAGAGGTAGTGAGTGGTGTGACTTTTTAAAACTACAAAATTAGAAACATGGAGATTTTAAGGTTCGGTCTTTTAAAGTCCTAAGACAACGAGATAGTTATTTAACAAATTTTAAGTAAAATCATATATAAAAGAAGATAATTTTGTATGGATACTAGCTGCGCAATTGCGCGGGCCACCCAACTAGTTTAGTTCAAACACTCGGCCATATACGTAGATGGACAGATTTAAGGCCCGTCTAAACGAGGCCATAGGTGACAACTTCCACTCTCTGCAGTCATTCTGCAGCATTTATATTATCTACTCTCTCCATCCAAAAGCGTTAGACTTATTTTATATTTTTGTTTTTTCCAATTAGTTATATTTGTAGTTTCCATGCATCTGACTTACTAAACTAAATTAAATGTTTGATCGGAACAAAAAACCATCTTAATACTCATTAAATCTTGAATATATTTTGATAATATATTTGTTTTGTGCTGATAATACTATCAAATTTTTCTATAAACTAGGTCAAACTTAATAAAGTTTGATTAGAAAAAAGTTAAACGATTTATAATATGAAACGGAGGGAGTATATTCAAGGATTAACGCTTGAAGAACAGTATATCAAAGGGAAGCAAATATCATGAATGTTGGGTGCTAAAACAAGAAGGATGTCATCTAAAAAAAACATGATGGATATATCACTGTCTCACTGACAGATCCTAAGATCAAATTTCTACTAGAAGTCAAATTCGAACAACACCACAAGATGTGCAGAATCAATCACAACGGAAAGAGTAACTCAACTGTTCCATTGAATTCAATATACCAGACGTCAGGATACTTGTTATACATCTCTGTCAGACGTCGCTGCTAATCAATACTATTAGACGTTCACACTTTGGAGTATTCTCATCTACTCCAGTTGCAGCAATTGAAGAACCAGTACTGAGAACTGAGCTAGATAGCTGATCTTGTTTTTTTTTTCTTTTGAAGATATAAATAGCTTGTTGTTATTAGCGTGACGCTTTGACAACTATAACTATAGTACTGATGAACATGCATGTCAGTATTCATGCACCAAAGGTCCAAGATCCTGTGATGTTGTGATCAAGCACAGGAGAAACCACACACGACATGTTCGCTGAAGAAACTTTCTACCCCACAAATTAAGCACGAACACGAGTAAAGGCAAACAAAGATTAGCTGCGCTGGATGCTTTGCATGTGCAGGTTGAGTACGGTACAACAAGTGCCAACATTTCTAGACGATCATAGACGAAGAGCCCGGAAAAGTCAATCCATCCCAGAAATTTCCACCAAGATTCCTGTCCCGTATATAATCATAGAGATGCACCAGAAATCATGCTTTGTCGCCACTAGTACACTTGGCGTGTCAATCGACGGCCGGCCTGAATTATGCCTGATCTGCAAGCTACTATATATCAGTTACCTAATTAACTTTGCTTTCATGGAACTGTTTGCTACTTTGCTCCCGTCGCAATTTGCTAGTCGCGACGTGTCCTTTCCTTTTGCCAGTTCAGATATGAACACCCTTCTAGTAGACGAGGTATTTTTTTACCAGCCCTCTATATTCAACCAGATATATACAGCCTCTTTTTAATTAGAAACTTAGCCTATCAAATATATTTTTAATTAGGAACTTAGCCTATCAAATATAGAAACCTAGTCCTCAAATAATCTAATCTGAAATTCGCTTCTATGGAGATTTGAACTCAGAACCTTGGTGTGCTAGCCCTCAAATAACCCAATCTGAAATTCGCTACTATCGAGATTTGAACTCAGAACTTTGGGGTGCTAGCCCTCAAATAACCCAATCTGAAATTCACTCCTATAGAGATTTGAACTCAATACCTTAGGGTGCTATTTAGGTCACCGCAACCACTAGACTATATGCCCTTTCACAACGAGCTAGCTAATAGTAATTGGAAATGGTCATCTTCGAGATGCTCAGATGCATATGCATGATGCTAGAGTTTCCTCTTTGAAGCATTCAGCAATGGAGTACACTTGCTTACGTACATGGTTGTCTTCATCGCACTTCATCTTTTTTTTTCCTTTTTTTTTTCAATGGAAGAAGATGACCTCTGCCGTTTCAGATTTGTGGTTCCACCTGCTATTTATAATTTCAGAGTTGTGGTTTATAGCTATGTGATCTTCTTGTTTTCTGATGCAAGATCATCAGTAAAGTGGAATTAACTTCTGACGAATTGACTACACAACAGACGTGAGGTTTTTGTCAAAAGGGAGAAATGGAAAAAAAAAGATGATGAACACGTCAGCTAGCAGTAGGTGCATCTCTCTTTTCAATCGTTTCTATCATTCTATTGTCTCTTTCTGCCCCCAATTATCTTTCTTAAGGCAGGTTGAATCCGTCGTTTAAAACCGATAAGCATGCTTTGCGTGGAAAACTAAAACGAAGTGGAGAGATCAATTGACTTCCGAATGGCGCACACTCCCTGACACACGTATCTAACCCTGTTGTCCATTTTTGCCTCAAAGGTCAGTTCAGATATTCAGTTTATGATCGTGTAACACGACAAGAAACCTCCTTTTCTACGCTTTAGGTCGACTACAGTGTACAGACCGATTGGAGTCTGCCTAGCTAGCTTCTTCTTCCTCTTCCGGCAGTCCAGAAGCGAATCAAGATTAATTTGCCTAACAAATTAGCTCAGCTAGCTTAATTGGTTGGCTAGCTCCAGATGTTTCATTCAACTAATTATTCACTAGCTAATTAATTTTGTTGAGGGGCATATATGACCGAACGGCACAAATGGAAAGTTCTGAACTGCTTAACAAGCTAACTCCATGGCCCCACAATGACCAAAGAAACATGTGCAGCTAGCAACAGGTGGTCATGCATACACATTTGGCTATTTCAGTTTCTGCTAGATTCTAGAACGGGATAGATGAACCAACAAATTGACGAGCTAGCCTTTACTCCGTATCCTTGTAGGCTCATGCTTTTGGTGAGCTTAAAGCCTCAAATGGAGTATTCAGTAACCACATGTTACTTGTTTCCCTAACAAAACCGATATCACAAGCAAGCTAGAGTAGGATATGATTTCGCCAAGAAGAACTAAAAAGATAGCCAAATGCTATAAACGGCAACTTGGTAAGGCGAGTTATATATAGGGAAAATTGGAACCATGCCATTATAATTTTGCAAAATTTGAGATATGCCATCTTGACCCACATGTCATTGAGATACCGATGGCATATCTCAAATTTTGCAAAATTATAATGACATGGTTCCAAATTTCCCTTATATATAAGTCAGAAAACACCAGCGTACATACGTGTAGACAACTATGGAAACGTAATGAACACAGCTCGGCCACGACAGCGAAAGCTCGCCCACAGACAAGAAACGTCAACCCTGCAAGTACATCGTCATCTAACCCAAAAGGACGCCGTTCAAGGCGTCCTGCAGTTGAATACAGAACGCAGATACAGGAATTATTCGACGTACGCATGCAGTGCAGGATGATGATATGATGATCAAATCAACAAAGTTAGGAGATCGAGTATCGAGATGGAGCAAGAGATCGAGTGTGTGTAATGTGTACGTACGTAGGTGTTGAGCTGGCGGACGAAGGAGGAGAAGTTGCAGTGCTTGAAGTGGAGCGGGAGGAGGTCGCGGGCGAACTCCACCGGCTTCCACACCACGAACGACCGCCCCTCCTTTCCCCACGAGATCACCTCGTCCGTCGCGCTCTCCTCCACCATCTGGTTCGTCTTCGTCAGGAACGGCGCCGGCCCACCGCCGCCTCCTCCCCTTCCCCCGCCGCCCTTCTGCTGCTGCTTCCCCACCGCCGCCGCCGCCTCAGCAGCAGCCATCGATCGATCACCTAACGCTATGATCTCTTTCTCTACCTAGCTACTTATGTTTGTGTGTATGTATCTATCTATCTATCTATCTATGTATGTGTGTTATGGTGAGATGGGTGTGTATAGCTAGTAGGAGGTGGTGGCCGAGAAGAGCAGGAGGGCGGTGAGGAACTCCCAGCCCCAGACGTAGAATCCGGTGACTACCGCCCTCCCACCGCAGCCGCCGCCCGCCTCTACTCCCATGTAACCGGCACGGTGGGCGCGCGCGGCGGGGTTTGTTGCCGTGGTCGCGTTTCTGCCCGTCGCCCTGCCTAGCTGAGCTTCTCTCGCCGCTTCCTCCTCCGGACCTCCGCTTCGCTCGGTGTGGAGCTCACGCGGGATATAAAGCGAGCCAGCGGCGGGTTGGCCCTCCTGGCGTTTACGTCTGCGTGGGTCAGGCCCCCGTCCGGTCCAAATAAGAAGCTTCCTCCCCAAAGGGAGTCGTGTGGCGCCGCACCACGCTCCCACCGTGCACCGGGTCCAAATCACTGCACGAATCGGCGAGGAATAATACGGGGCTCCCGTTACGGTGTGCGGTGGAACGGGCGTAGGGAGGACCGACGGAATTTGCGTTGGGCAGGCACGTCCGCGTCACCGCTCTCCGGTTCTTCTTCTTCTTCGCCGCTTCCAGAAAACTTGAGGGGAGCGGAATTTTTCTCTCTCGTCGCCGTAATCTACGATGCGTCCTTGTCATCCCGGGCGGGGCCGGGGCGAGATGCGAAAGAAAGTAAAACCAAAGGCGCGTGGAAAAAGGAAGGGCGAGAAAGCGGGTTTTGCTTTAATGGCTCGCTTGTTTCCATCCGTTGCCGATTTGTCCAAAGTCGTCCACATCGACCAACACGAGCTAATCGAGATGATACGCCTTCCTCTTCCCACCCAACTCGACGGCGTACGTAGACCATATGTACTTGGGAATATTCATGTACAAGCCCTGCTGCAATCTTATTAACGGGAATCATCTGGCTATCAAGGACGGCCTCCCCGGCTCCCAGCACGTACAGTAGCAGCAACCTTTTCTTTTTTCTCGTAATTGCTACTTTAACCATGTTACTTCAACGACTACTCGTAGTATACTACTCGTAGTCGTAGTAGTCATGTATACTGTGTAGTACTATATAGATATCTGCTCCTGAAACGGGCCGGGGATCACTGCGTCCAATATGAAAGCTTTGATAACAAAGTACCGGTTTTTCCCCTTGATGTCATTCTGGAGCTAGCATGTCTCCGGTACAGCACGTACTGTTACACCAACTCCCATAGTCCCGCGGAGTTGTTTCTATCGCTCTTCACACGAATCACACCAACAAGAAGATGATTCTACATCATAATTAGGCATAAGTACATTACCTCATTTTCTTGATCCCACTGTCCCATCTCCCATGGATACATATGTTCCACCCGATGCTCACACATCACTGGCTGCACTGCATGATCCCCTTTCTAGTATAACTAGTTGCACTGCATCCTACTCAACGTGACACCCCCCGGAGCAGACGGCGAACGACGCAAGCCAATCGTCAATCCAACGATAGACCCGGACCCCGTGTGATTTTGGACTAGCGTTTTTCTTTCTTTCTTTTTTTTCCCTGCCCTTTGGCTTTTGGGGTTGGTTGCTTGTCCAACTCGGTGTTTGCAAGTAAACGCCTCACCAACCTGAACAAAAGGCTGGAGAAAAATGAGGCCGTCTAAGAGGGAGTTCCTGCTGACCGATGGGTGCGTGGTAGAAACCTGACTTTTGTGCCAAAATCCACTTCATTTCTCCGGTCAGTTACATGTTTGCGTCTGCATTGTGTGGCAAACTGGCTCCGGGGCTGGGCGGAGAGAAAGATCGGAGCTTAGTTAGGGCTCAAATGAAAATTTTTGGGTATCACATCGGACGTTTGACCGGATGTTGGAAGGGATTTTCGGACACGAATGAAAAAACTAATTACATAACTCGCCTGAAAACCGCGAGACGAATATTTTGAGCCTAATTAATCCGTCATTATCACATGTGGATTACTGTAGCACTTATGACTAATCATGGCGTAATTAGGCTCAAAAGATTCGTCTCGTGATTTATATGCAAACTGTGCAATTAGTTTTAATTTTTATCTATATTTTATACTCCATATATATATATATAAAGATTTAATATGATATTTTTGGGAAAAGTTTTGTTTGGAACTAAGCAGGGCCTTAATAAATGCCATAGCCAGCTGCAACTTTGCTGATTTCATCCGCGGACGCCGATGCGACACAAAGGGTGATGGTCTGATGGAGAAGGTTCTGATTGTTGCTTAATCTCTCTGACGGTCTAACACCTTAGCTGGAAAGATGTCGTCCATATCCTGCCTGTGCTGATTGCTGACCAGTTCATATTATATTAGTGCTGAGCTTCTTCCTTTTTAACAGAGACACAGACACGTATAGCTTTTTGTGTGTGTGTTTGTGGCTGGGTTAAGGCTTTGCTGAATTTTAGATTCGAGAATTTGGATCAGTCATGAACAATTAATTAAGGTCTTATTTAAATACACCTCTTTCAGAAATACTGAATATGAAAAGAATGTAGTTTACATAACATAGGGATAGAAATCTATCAACGTATTATCTAAAAACAAAAAAGAAATCTATCAACGTGGGCAACCAGGTATATATAGCTCTGTCAGTGTTACGAATAAGTCATATCTTTGGACTTGTGAAGTATACGAATACGGTCATTACATACAAATTAAGAAAAAGGTCAATGCGTAAGGAAACCGTCTCCTCAAATGGAAGGTGTTAGAGACCTATTCGGAGGAGATAGGGGATATGTGATCTCATACATAGGGAGATATCTCCGAGTTCTGCTTGGAGACCAAGATAATCTACAGTATAAATACAGGACCTGTCGCGCCCAGGGATTCGACAACCCGAATCACCGGCTATCTGTGCATTAAACCTCTGTCCAGACATCAACCAGAGTACACAGACGATAATCTGATACAATTCCACGTCTTACAAAAATATAAAATAAACTCAGAAAAGCAACAGAAAAACTAAAGACCATCTAAATTTAATCTTCTCAGCAAACCGAAGCTTCCTCCATAATCCACAGGCAAAACCTCGACGTCTGGCAAAAGCCTAATCTTCATAGAACTCACCATCCAATAAATTCTCTACTTCTGGGGGATTGGAAAAAATAAAGCAAGACTGAGTACAACCGATGTACTCAACAAGTCATATCAAGGGGAAGGTATAATGCAAGGATAATCAAAAAATTGGCTCATAGGACATTTGCAGTGAAAGCAGCATTTATAAATCATAAGTTGAAAGCAGTAAAACAATAGTTAATTAAGAGTGAGAGAGAGGAGGAGGAAGGGAGAGAGATGACGTGGCAGCCTGACATATGGGGCCCACGTGGGTCCCACGTTGACTCAGTCGTCACGTAGGATAAAACCGGGGTCAAAACCACCGAAGAACCTATTGTGATCGGTTTTGATTAGTTAAGGGACGCCGGATATCTGGTTTTGCGGTTAGGGGACGATTTTGTAACTCGATGACAAGTTGAGGGACCTTGGGTGTACTTATTCCCCAGCCAAATTACTAGCACAAGCAAGTTGGATAATACAGCCCAAACCAGATTGGGAGTTCGTGACGTTGCAGGCTTTGATTCTGAAACCGACTAAAACAACCGAAAAGGTTAGGTCCAATGGTCTACCGGGCTTATAAATTATTGGGCTCAATTTGCACAACCGCAGTGGTCCATAAAGCCCAATACTGCATTAGCTGATGGTCCGAAACATCGAAACCTCTAATGGGCGATCGATCGCCCAGCCGATGGAGTAGCGATCGGGTGCCCCCCCTCCCTCCACCTGGTTTTCTTTTTTTGGCACCGTATTACTTTTCTATTTTAATAAATTTATGCATCTAAAGTTTATACACCTCAAGTTTACGCATCTAAAGTTTAAAGACCAAAAGTTTATAAGTCAAAAGTTTATATATCCGATTTAAATTTGAATTTTAATTCAAATATTTTCTATATATAGTATTTCTATACATCTAAAGTTTATACACCTAAAGTTTATAGACTCAAAGTTTATAACTCAAAAGTTTACATACCCGATTCAAATTTTTTATATATAGTATTTCTATACATAAATTTTTCTAACTTTTTGTTTTTTCAAAAAAAAATTATGGTTTACTGTAGTAAGAAGAGAAGAAGGGGAGGAGGAAGAGGGGAGAGAGAGGGGTAGGGGGACGGACGGGTGATCGCTGGGCATTAGGCGTGCCCCCGAAACGTTGATAAAAGGCAGCAACCAACCTGTTCAGCTGTTTTTTTTAACAAAACGACAAAGACTGCACATTTTATTGGGAAACTATTCAGGACGTTTATTCTAAACTATCGAGAGATGTCTCATGGTTGTTTGCGTATCACTCATATAATTATGAAAAAACTAAAAACAAATTAATAAGATAGATCAATATGTAATAGACCACTCTACAAACATGCATGATCAAATTTAACTTTTACATGTTATAATGAAAAAACAAAATTGACTATGCATATATGTTATCTGGCTATAGTTTTTTTTTCAACTTTTAAAATTTGATTTTAACTTGCGTGCATATTTGTAGAGTGATATATCTCATATTAATCCATATCTTTATTTATTTATTATTTCTTAAAACTAATTTGGGTGACATATAAATAATATGGGATGTCATCTGGGGGTGTAGAATCCCCATATATATATATATATATATATATATATATATATATATATATATATATATATATATATATATATATATATATATATATTTATATTTATATTTATGGCCCTGTCCTGTAAATGGGCCTTTATGAGCCTCCAAAATATCTTTCAGGCCATGACCAATACCCCAGTTGGTCCTATACATATGACCTGCGATCACGAAAAGAATAGCAATAGCTAAATGATGGTGCGCAATATCGCTCAACCATAGACCGCCGGTTATTGGATCTAGCCCTCCGCGAAAACTAAGAAATTCTGCGTATTTGGACCAATTCAAGGTGAAAAAAGGGGTTGCTCCTTCGGCAAAACTAGGATAAAGTTGAGCCAAAAGGTCGCGATTCAAGATAAATTCATGAGGAAGTGGTATCTCCTTAGGATCAACCCCAGCGTCAAGAAATTGGTTAATCGGTAAAGATACATGGATTTGGTGCCCCGCCCAAGAAATATATACACACACACACACACACACACACACACACACACACACACACACACACACACACACACACACACACACACATACATATATATATATATATACACATACACATATATATATATATACACATACATACATACATATATATATATACACATACATACATATATATATACACATACATACATACATATATATATACACATACATACACA